AAATATCCCCTAGTTTTACTCTATAAACTTCTTCTTAGTTTATGTACAGTTTCCTCATGAACACAATAAAGTTTTCTGGAATACCTAGTTTTCCCAATGGTATCCATAACTTGTCATGATGTACACAGTTGAAGCCATTTGGTCAGTCAACAAAGTACAAGAACACATCTTGTTATTATTTTCTACTTGTAAGCAAGGTCCATCTGACATAAGCAGTGATATCCCCAGTTCCACTTCCTGTTTGATTTCATCCTGAATATCAGGCAGTTCCTTGTTTTACTATGGCAACCATTTAAAAATTATTTTTGGTAAAATTTTACTTGCAAATGATATTAATAATATTGTTCTATGGTTTCCACATTATACTGGGTCAACTTTCTTTGGAATGAGAACAGATATAATCTCTTCTAATCATTTGGTCAGGTTTTTAAAATTTCTTGGCATAGATGAGTGAATGCCTCCAGCTGCATCAATTTGTTGAAGTATTTCAATATGTACTCTCTCAATTCCTGGAGCCTTGTTTTGCCAATGCTCTGACTTTTTACCTCAGTATCATCAGTTCTTAATCATGTGCTACCTCTTGAAATGGTTGAACAGTAACCATTTCTTTTAAGTTTAGAGACTGTGTATACCTTCCATCTTCTTTTTATTCTTCCTGCAACATTCAGTATTTTGCCCATTGTTGTTTAAGTGTCATCGAGTAGTACTAACTCACAGAGTCCCTGTGTAGTTTTTCTGAGGAGTGATTGGAAAGTTTGAACCATCAGTCTTGTGGTTAGCAGTCTAGCGCTTATCCTCCACACCACAACTTCAATATTCTAACTTGAGGCTTGAATGTTTTCTTCAGTTCTTTCAGCTTGAGAAATGCTGAGTATGTTCTTTCTTCCTTTTTGTTTTTCTGACTCCAGGTCTTCCATATTTCATTATAATACTTGACTTTGCCTTTTAAAACTGTCCTTTGAAATATTCTGTTCAGCTCTATTACTTCCTCATTTCTTCAATTTGCTTTAGCTTCTCTATACTCAAGAGAAATTTTCAGAATCTCTTCTGATATCTATTTTGGCCTTTCCTTTATTTTTTAATGACAATTTACTTACTTCATAGATCATGGTGATGTCCTCCCCCAACTCCTCCGGTTTTTAGTCATTAGTGTCTAATGCATCAAATATGTTATTGAGACGGTCTTTGAATTTGGGTACAATATATTCAGGGGCATGTTTAGGTCTTGTAGACTAGTTTTCAGTTTCTTTAGCCTATACTTTCTTATGAGTGATTGATGGTCTGTTTCACTGTTGGCACATGCTGTGTTGTGGCTGATGGTATTGAGCTTCTATACTTTCTCTTCTCATGTATGTAGTTTGATTCCTGTGTATTCCGTCTGGTGAGGTCCAAGTGTATAATTACTCTTAATGTTGTTTGATAAAGGTATTTGCCATAAATAAATCACTGGTTTTATAAAATTCTATAATGCAATCTCCAGCATCATTTCTAATCACCAGTGATATATTTTCTGTGTACTAATCCTTCCTCTTTGTTTCCAATCTTTTCTTTATATTCTCTAGTAAATATCAATAGATCTTGATTTCATTGATCAATTTCAGACTCAAAAAGTTGATAGAATTCCTCAATATCATCATCACTGGTTTAAGTGGTATTGATTGATATTATATTGTGTTCCTTGTAGGTGATCACAGACAGCATTATACTTCAAAATAAATCTTGAAAATGTTCTATGTAATGAGGAAGGTGATGCCATTCCTTTTTAATATGACGTTCCCAGTGTTGTAATCTATATAATTATCAGATTAAAAATGAACAGTACCAGTCTATTCAACTGACCAATACTTAGGATATCTAGTTTCATGCATTGCATTTTTTACAATTTGCAATTTTCCTAGATTCATACAATGTAACTTCCATATTCTGATTATTGATAGATGTTTGCAGCTGTTTCTTCTCATTTTGAGTTGTGCTCCATCTGCAAATGAAGGCCCCAGAAGTATTGCCCAGTCATATCACTATGGCCCTGTCTACTTTGATAAAGCAGCTCTTCTCCTGTGACATTTTGAGTACACTCCAACCTGAGAGACTTATATTCCAGCACTATATCTGACAGTGTTCCACTGATATTCATAAGGTTTTCAGTGGTGAATTATTAAGAAGTGGTCTGCATGTAACTTCTTTTTAGTCTGGAAGTTCTGGTAATTTGTTCATCATGGGTGATCCTGGTCATATTTTAAATGTTGGTGGTATTGTTTCCAGCATCACAGTAATATGTGAATCACCTCTGTAATGACACACTATCGGTTAAGTAGTTGGAAAATTGAACTAGGAACATGTTTAATTATACAACTACAGTAAAATAGTAACCAGTATGTATTCAAATAGGTAAATTGTGAATGATATACTTTAAAGTTTTGAAATATGAGGGAGTTAAAAAATTTTTTTTTTGAAAAATGGAATGAAAAGATAATGGAACACTTACACAAATTTTTTGAAACTACCTTCTCCTATACAATGTTCACAAACACATACACTGTTTTGGGATTATCAGTCCAAATTACTAACATGTCAATGTCAATTTTTTTTTTTTCCTGTGTCAGTATGGAATTGTTCTATGTGATTAGCACTGGACTGCTAACTATAAGATTGGCGGTTCAACCCCACCAGCCATTCCTTGGAAACCCTATACAGGGTCACTATGAGTGGGAACTGACTCCACAGCACTTAATAGCTACAACAACAAATGATTAACATGGAGACTTTGAGATGAGATAATTTTGATTCACAATCTGATTCCACCACTTATGACCATTTTAGTTATATAGTGCTATTCAATCAGGTAGATGAATTGAACAGAAATAAATTTAATCTCTCAAAAATAAGGAGAAATTCAGAGTGCCAGATATGGAGATAGGTCTTTGTTTCCTTTCAGTATTTTTAGGGCCAGCATTTCTTGGAAATCTCTATATGTTTTGGCATCAATCTTTTCTTGGATCTAGGAGATTTACAGTGCAGAGACCCTATGTCCAAAGGATGCCCTCTCCTCTTGCTCCTCTTTCTTGGTGGTAGTAGGTCCCTTTTTCTTCACTCACTTATCTCTGTTTTTTTCTCACAAGAGTTTGACTGAAGATACAACCTAATCTTGTAGATTGCATCCAAACTCATTAACATCATCATTGTTATCATTGTTGTTGCTAAGTGTTGTACAGTCAGTCCCCACTCATAGATGCACTGTATAGAGCCTCTGGGACTTCTGGTGTGGTGCTGTAGGATCAGCACTGGGTTGCAAATCACATGGTCTGCAGTTCAAACCCACTAGTTGCTCCTCAGAAACACTTTACGGTGTCACTATGAAGCAGAACTGACTTGAAGGCACTCACCAACCACAGTAATGCTGCTTTGGAGTAGTAGCTGGTGGATTTTAATTACTGAATTTATGTTTACAGTCCACTGCTTATTTTACAATGCCACAATAAGGTAATTGCATCAGATCAGGACTGATTACATCAGATCATATCATGAGGGTGGTTGCATTATATTAGATCTCATCATGGGGGATTGCTATTGTTAAATGCTGTCCAGTCAGCTCCGACCCATAGCAACCTTGTATAGGGTTTCTGAGGAGAGGCTGGTGAGCTTGAACTGCTGACCTTTCAGTTCAAACCAACTTTGCTGTCTAGCACATTAACCCACAGTGCCAAACTAGTAAGAATTCAGGACCACCCAAGTTGACATACAGTCTTAAGTATCACACTCTGATGTTTTTCAAGTCAGCTTGTCTATCTGAATTTACTTATCTATAAATCACATATAATACTATGGACTGCACAAGGAAGCTATAGTAATTAGAATTAGATGGTACAGTGTTATCACACTTTGAAGGCCATTTTGTATTGTATCACCTATCCTGACCTAGGATGTAAGTACAGTGATGGACACATTTTGAAGCATGAGCCTCACAATTTTTATGTATTGGGGTGCTGTGTATTTAAGTTGTTATCACATGCAAGAGATATTTTATGAAAAAAATGATTAAGATAAAATATAATTCTCATGGGGATAATCTCTAAGGGTTGTTCAATTTACAAAGTTAACTTTGTAGGTAGTCTGCGTAACTAGAACTGATTCAATTATGTGTTATTCTATATTGGCTTCAAGTTTTCTGTTAAGTTAAGGGAAAGAAAAATACTTATTGTTAAGTCACAAGATTAAAGGTAATTAAATGATTGAAATAATGGAACCAAAATATTGTCAAACTCACATGAAACAGTGATTACTTCTGTCTGTTACTCCTATTTCTGGGTATTTATTTTGTTCATTTCTCTGTCTACATATTAAAATTCTCAGCTTTATTTTGCACTGATAGCTTCCCTAGAATTTAAACATTTTCTCCTATATTAAAGATCCATCACTTGTTTGTCAGTTTGTCATACTTTGGTAGTTTATATGCTGCTGTGATGCTAGAAACTATACCACCATTATTTTATAACCAGCAGGGAACTGATGGAATACAAATTAAAATCTTTGAACAAGCTAATACACTTTAGGCACTTACTCATCTATGCCAAGAAATTTGGAAGACAGGACAACTAATTGGAAGAGACCTATATTTGTGCCCATTCCAGACAGGTGACCCAGCTGATTGTGGAAATCATTAGATAGCATCATTAATATCACATGAAAGTAAACTTTTGCTAAAAATCATTCCAAAATGGCTGCAACGGTACATTGAAAGGGAACTGTCAGAGGTTCATGTTAGATTTAGATGAGGATGTGGAATGAGTGATATCACTGCTGATGTCAGATAAATCTTGGCTGAAAGCAGAAAATACCAGAAAAATGTTTACTTGTGCTGCGTTGACTATGCAAAAGCTTTCGATTGTGTGGATCATGACAAGCTATGGTCAACAATGAGAAGAATAGGTATTCCAGAACATTAATTGTGCTCATGAGGAACTTGTGCATACACAAAGAGGCAGTCATTCCAATAGAACTAGGACATTGGCTGGCTTAAAATCAGGAAGGGTGTGCACCAGGGTTGTATTTTTTCACCATATGTGTTCAAACTGTATGCTGAGCAAAGACCACAGCCTTCAGTATGGATTGCATATCAATGTCAAGAAAAAAAATCATTTTAACCACTGGAACAATAAATAACATCATGATAAATGGAGAGCAGTTTGAAGCTATCAAAGACCTCATTTTGCTTGGCTCTACTCTCAACCCTCATGGAACCAACAGTCAAGAAATAAAATGACGTGTTGAACTAGGCAATTCTGTTGCACAAGACCTCTTTAAAGGTTTAAGAGCAAAGAGTTTGAAAACTATGGTGCACCCAACCCTAGCTAGGGTATTTTCAATAGCCTCATATGCTTGCAAAAGTTGGACAATGAATAGGGGAGACCATAGAATAATTGATGCATATGAGTTATGGTGGTGGAGAAGAATATTAAAAGTACCATAAAATATCATAAGAAAAAGCAAACCTGTGTTGAAAGAAATACAATCAGAATGCTCCTTAGAAACCAAGATGGTGAAATATCTTCTCTTATGCTTCAGACATGTTGTCAGGAAGGATGAGTCCCTGGAAAAGGACATCATGCTTCGTGAAGTGGTGGGTCAGTGAAAAAGAGGAAGACCCTTAACAATGATTGTGAGGATGGCAAAAGACAGGGCAGTCTTTGTTTCTGCTGTGCACAGGGTGTTATGATATATAACCGACTCAATGGCATCTAACTACCACAACAATGTATTTAAGAGACCTGACTAAAAATGTTCCCAATTCCACATAGAAAGATTCTTATGGACTCCACTTACTTCAGCTGTGCATCATTAATACAGACAACTTTGAGTTGGGAAGAAGAGTTGCCTTACTTTTCTAGCATTGCCATAGCAAAATTCTTTAAGGTAGGTTGTTTTAAAGAACAGAAATTACTTTTTTTTCATTGTTTGGAGGTTACAAGTTTGTTTAGTGAGTTTCATCAAGGCTATGTTCTTTCTATTGTAAAACATCCATCTCTGTGCCTTTCAGCCCCTGGCTACACACCAGTTGTTACTTTTGTTACTGAATACTTTTATATAGACCCTCACATACTGTCTTCACCTTGTTTGAATCTCCTTTTATAACACAGGACTCAGAAGGAATTAGATTTAGGACTCTCCCTAGGTTTGCATGACTCATTACATCTACAAGGAAAAACTATTTTCCCAAACAAGGTCAAATTTACCAGTTCAGGTGATAGGACTTCAAAATATGTTTTATGGGTAAAACAATTTATTTTAGAACAGGATAGAAACATACATTATAATAATAGCTATTGGTTGCTAGCTATGCAATTAGGAGAGGAATTTTCAGTAAAGAAAAGATTTTGGCCTATATCCCAATTGGTGTCTCTTCTTTTGAGAAGTTATTTTCCTAATATAAGCTAATTTTCTAATAAAACGTTAGTTATATTTTACAAATAATTTGTTGTTGTTAAGTGTCTTCAAGCCATTTCCAACTCATTGCAATCCTATACAGCGCTTCTGAGGAGCAACTGGTGAGTTTGAACCATCAAACTTTCAGTTCACACGTTACCTTGTGTTTCAGTGCCTATTCTATATTTTCAAATGTTGCATTCATGAGTTGCTATAGTATAGCTCTAAGTTCTGATTTACAAAATGCATAAGGATTTTGCCCAAAGCTTGACATTATTTGATTTTGTTGTTGTCAGGTGCCATTTAGTCGGTACCAAATCATAGTGACCTTATGTGCAACAGAAAAACATACTGCCCAGTCCAGTGCTAACCTCACAATCACTGTAACTCTTGAGCCCATTGCTCTTGCCACTGTACCCATCCATCTTTTTTGGGGTCTTCCTCTTTGTCTCTGACCTTTTGATTGTTGTTGTTAAGTGCTGTTGAGTCAATTCCAACCCATAGCTACCCCTGTATAGGGTTTCCAAGGAGCAGCTGGTGAGCTTGAACCACTGACCTTGCAGTTCAAACGGCTTTGCAGTCTGGCGCACTAACCCACCGTACCACACCAGGACTCCAGGCCCTTTGATTAGTCTCAATTTATTTAAAATCTTAATATTTGTCATTTGTATTTAATATTTTGGTCTTTATTGCAGTTGTTGATTCTGTCTTTTTGTTATCATCATTCTTTCCTATAACACAAATACCTCTGTTCCCCCATGTCACTTGGCATGTATAACATTCTTATGCTCCTATCTAGGTTTAGTTATTATGATACTAATTATATACTATTAGCTCACTGTTTCCTTAGTGCCTTAGAAAATCACCCTTGTGATTGCTGACCTGGTTGTGAAAGTCCCTGTGCTACATCTAATGTCAAGTCTCCTGCTTAGAAGCAAGTGGGAGAAACAAAAACACAGGCAGTCCCTGTAAACAACTTTACAAACAACTTATATATAATGTCCAACTTATATACAACCTGTATGTGCATGTCAGCTTCCTTACTGACTATTATATTAAAAATACAAGTACATGCAATGCATTATAATAGCAAAGGGGTGCTACTTTGCAACATGCAACAAAGCATTGTTATTATTACCTTATTAAGTTAAAGATGTTTTAGTATGTCTGAAGTATATAATGTTTTCTATGCATGGAATAAGAATCTTGGTGTTGGGGAGTCTGCTGGACTGCAAGGTTGGTTTGAACTAAAAGGTTGGTTTTTCAAGCTCACTAGCTGCTTCTTGGAAACGCTATACAGAGTTTTTATAACTCAGAACTGACTTGACAGCACTTTAACAACAATTAAAGCATGCATGGAATGGTATACTATATCCTATATAAGACTATCATTTCTATAAGGGAAGTTAGATATGATCTGTACTTAACTGTTCCAATTCATGTACAAACTAGCCTCAAAGATAGATTTAGGAATGAAACTCATTTATAATCCTGTATAGGAACAAAAAAGAAAAGCAATCTTCACTATCCATTTATATTATATTATTCATGTGGAATTTTCTTACATAATTTCCACATTTCCAAAAGGTTCTCATGGACGTTTAATTACATAAATTATGAATCTTTGCTCACATAGCACATATATTCATAGTCACTGTATTTCTTCACAGATAATGGGAATTTTGTACCTGTGCTTCCTAATGTCAAAATGAATGTTTGTGTATTCCACTCTACGTTATATACATCAGGACAGAATAGTTACCAAGACAGTTGGTGAAGTTTTATTTTCTGCAGAAGATTAAATAATAGTTGGACATACATGGGCTTTTTGTAGATTGTAGCATGCAAATTTGTAATAAGCTAGTAAATCACAGTCTGTGCTATGATAACAAATAATGCAATAATGTAGCATTATTCCATTTGTGTCACTAATCCTTCCAGCCTACACAATTGCAGGCATAGCCACGAATATAATCTTAAGAGATAAAATTACTTGATGAAGCATGATTCTTTAATATGTAGTTTGCTTAATTTTGCTGCCAGATTAAATTATTGTGTTTTAAATGTAATTAACTTTAATGATAGTTGTTGTTGTTGTTAGGTGCCATCTAGTTGGTACCGACCCATATAAACTTTATGCACAGCAGAAAAAAACACTGCCCAATTCTGGGCCAATCGCACTATAGTTGCCACGCTTGAGTCCACTGATGCTGCCACTTTGCCAACCCATCTCGCTGGGGGTCTTCCTCTTTTTCTCTGACCCTCCACCTTACCAAACATGATATCCTTCTCCAGTGACTGCTCCCTCC